AATCCCTGTTGGCCTCTTGCCCGGGACTTTAACTTTTTTAACTTTTATTTTCAAATACAAGTAATTACATCAGCAAATACAAATGTGTGTGTGTGCGTTAGTCGGTAACATAATTTAAACATTTATAAAATGTATCATTACATGGTGAACTTTACTAAAAAAGGATTTGTCGATCAACAATTCAAATGAAGGTAATTAGAATTAAAGAAATACAAAAATTGTATTTTTACTATGATAGTCTTAAAATGTAATACATTTTTTTTAATTAATCGACAATGCTTTTATTAAACATGAAAATTATATATTTATTATTTCATATTATTTTTCAAATTTTTTTTGTATTTATTTTTTTATTAGTAGAGCAATATTTTATGAATAAATTATGTATTTCCGAGAACTATATATCAAAATTAGAATGATACTGAGATATTCTTACGCTGCAAGGATGAATGTGGGCCTACGACTCAAACTTTTAAAAATTATTACGAATTCGAGGTTATCAAAAAACGACGTTCAGCTTTTTGACGATTTTAATCTTCCATCCCCGCTCCTAATCCTGACACGCTGTCACAAACATCTAGATCACTCACCGCCCCTCCCCCTCCCCCAAAGAAAAAAAATGGCGTAACTACTCAGCACGTTTTTTTTTTTAAACATCGCTATTTTTCTAAAATATATCTGTGCTCGGTTAAGTATGGTAATTGTTTGTAATGCTACTTACACAAATCGCATTTTACAATGCTAAATAACAGCTAAATTTCAGTTTCTATTTTTACTTATTTTTAAAAAATACAAATGTGTGTCTACACACTTTCGGACACAACCCACATCTCACATTGTCACAAAAATCCCCCCACCCTTCCCACCCCCCTTAAGAGTTTAACGTCTTTTGTGTACGACCCCTCAGTAGTAGAAGGCCTAGCCTCACCACAAAAGAAATGGTCGCGTCGGACCATACACAGCCGGCCGAGACTTCAATGCCACCCGTTCCGGTTGATTGAATCAAGCTGACCTGACCATTCATGTCTCAGGCGATCAATGGAGCGAGGCCTGACGCTCTGGACACTAAAAAACACGGAACAAAGACCCAGCTAAAAACACGGAACAAAGACCCAGCCAAAACGTGTTGACAGCTTGAATTTAAAGCACCGCTCTACACACACAAAAAAACCCACCTGCGATAGACATTTTATCGTTGGTCTTATTTCAGTTGCTGACCCACTTTGTCGTATACATACATACATATATATATATACACATATATATATATATAGTATTAATGATATATAGTCATGATTTGACTTGTTGCTATACACCAGATAAGACTATTGATATAATAGCCCGACCGTCGATATATAAATCTTTAAGAGTACGCCTATTAAGCTTTTGGTTGTGGTAATGAGTCGCGACTATACAAGATCTCTTAAAGATATCGCACAAACGTTGTAAAGAAATTTGAAGCAGAACTATTTTGTCAGGGGATCTATACAAGTTTATCTAGTGTGGCGTTAATACATTAAGGCGCTATTCATCCTGCCACCGCTCCCCCACCCTTTAATATATATAGTCTAATAGACCATTGGATGTTAAGATGAAAAGAGCGAGATATTGCTTATGTATCAGCCCCCCCCCCCCTCTCCACACAGCTGATGGACCCAAAAGTCTTACGGACACTCATAGGCTTAGCGACCCCTCCCGGCGCCCGGGGACAAACTTTCGATTTGCGCCCCCCCCCCTCGAACTTTTCATTTGCACCCCCCCCCCCCCTCAAACTTTCGATTTGCACCCACCCCCCTCGAACTTTTCATTTGCACCCCCTCAAACTTTCAATTTGGCGCCCCCCTAAGGTCGGTGCCCGGGGACATATGTCCCCCCCCCCCGCCCCCCCCCTCGCTACGCCTCTGCGGACACTAAATCTCTTGACAAAATATTTTAGACATAAATTATCCTTTAGTCAAAACGTATGAGAGAAACTTTTTTTTGCGCTTGGCGTAGAATAAAACGGTAAATATACGGGCTTAGTAGTTTCATAGGGGTATATTCAGGGGTAGGTTAGTTGTATGATCATATAGGGGTAGGTTAGTTGTGATCATAGAGGGGTAGGCTGGTTGTATGTTTTAAAAGTGCATATATTAAGAAACATTACATTTTAGAACGTAATAATTAAAAAAAAATGTAAGTCCTACATGACGTTGTTAAACTCGTGACAATGTTCTCTGAGATGAAACTTAAATACAAAAATACAGTGAGTGTTTCTGATCTGTTAGAAAAAAAATCATGGATTAACAATAAAGTATCATGAAGCATCGTGTTTCATGACGCAGTGGAAAGACTTTTATTCAGTTTCTTTATGTTACGGCCATTAAGATTTAGTCACTTGACTGAGCAGCTAGCACACATAACGGCTAACCAATACACAGTTGTGTGTCAATCGACCAGTCTATCGCGGTGTCCTTGGCTGATGCGCGAACGTCACAGAGGCCTGGCTTTTTTTTTTGTGGAGCAAGTTTGGAACAGCTTCTCAAACTGTCGTCTTTTCCTAGAGGAAATATTTTAAAATGTTGTGGAATATATGTTTCTTTTCGTCGCAAGTGGCGTACTTGAAATTAGTTTTATTATGATTTTTACATGTTTTAAGTAAACCGTACCTAAATTTTTTGTATAGTGAAGGTAAGAAGATTTAACGATTTTCTTTTCATTTACATGGTTTTTATCCCAAAAAAAAGTATATTTAAAAAAAAAATAAGGTATAGGCCTACATGTCTTGTACGTAAATTTTGTTTTTATTATTTACCTTACTTTTCGCAAAAGTCTAGCGGTTACCCTCTGGTATGGAGGATAGGTTACATTTAGTGAGAGGAAAAAAGTTTGATTCTTATTTCAGTCTTCTTTTCTGATGAGAATTGAGTCTATGATGACCTTTTACAAAAGAAAGAGAGAGAGAGAAAGAGAGACAGAGGGGGGGGGGAGGAGGAAAAAGAGAGGGGGAGAGAGAGAGAGGTAGTGGAGACAAGGAGAGAGTAGCAGTAATCTGTTGAGCTACATTCCACCACTACACTACAGTATAACATTTGGCTGTTTATTATTTAGACGTTATACACAATATTTTTCTTAAAGATGTCATCTTAGATATTGCTGTATTTAAAAATAAAATGGTAAAAAACCCGTTTAAATTACAATTAAAGTGGAATTTTTGTAATAGGAACTACATTCATAATTAAGACTAAATCTTTCAATCCGTTCCTTATCGAGTCGATTAGTTAGACGGGACGTCGGAATTCTCGAGTTCTTCAAGAACCCTTGGGTTAATCCATCCCTGCGACTAGAAATAGAGTAGACCGTGAACGTTATGGCCTCGATAGTGAGGCCAGTTCTTCCAAGACACACTGTCAGAATAGTGAGACCAAATCTACAAAACATACTGTAATAATAGTGAGACCAATTTCACGATTCACAATCTCTATAGTGAGACCAATTCAACCAAGACACATTATCTCAGCAGTGATACCGAGAAACAACCTCCCCTCAACAAGTCATAAAATCCTCACGTTTATTTGTGACTTGGAAATGCCTTCAATATCCAATGTAACTTTGATTTTAAAATTCGTCCACTTTCTAGAGTCATGCTTTACTTCTATTTAATCTATACTACACAGTGCTTTGTTAATTTGTATTTGTGTTGGGATTTGTAAAAAAAAATTGTCCTTCCTACATTCTGGTTTTTACATAACTCAAGATACATAACACGGTATACACGAAGTTTTCACGTAATGAAGTCAATTATAGAACTTTTGAAATTATTCTATTCTGAAACATTTTATTTGTATCTAAATTGTACATTGTAGGTGAGAAGGAAGGTGGTTACCTGATCTTGGCTCACCGATATGTCCCATATTTGTTCTGAGTAGTGTTCGCCCGGAGGGGGGGGGGGGAAGAGGAAGGAGGGGAGGTGTCGTGTGGCGGCAATACCTGTAGACAATATTGGAGCGATACTTATGGGCGATACTGGGGCGACTCCCATGAAAAATACTAGGTGGGGACCTGTGGCGATACTCGAGCGATACCTGTGGGCGATACTGGGGCGACTCCTGTGGAAAAGAGACTTGGTGGGGATATGTGGCGATACTCGAGCGATACCTGTGGGCGATACTGGCGTGGAATCTTCAAGCTATACACGAGCAAACACATGGACGATAGATGTTTGGAGAGGTTGTTCAAATATATTTTTTTTCGGTGAACTTATTAAATTTCAAAGTGGATTTGGTGACATTTTTTGCTCAGTGAATGCGCTATCATAAAGTAAATTTTAATTGAATAATTTTTATACAAGCTTTTAGTTTTACACATTTAGTGAGTGATATAAAAATACTCAAATGGTCAACCGACATTTAGTGAGTGATATAAAAATACTTAAATGGCCAACCAACCTTTAGTGAGTGAGATAAAAATACTCCGATGGCCAACCACCAACGGCCAACCTACCTTTAGTGAGTGATATAAAAATACTCCAATATCAACCAACCTTTAGTGAGTGAGATAAAAATACTCAAATGGCCAACCAACATTTAGTGAGTGATATAAAATACTCAAATGGCCAACCAACCTTTAGTGAGTGATATAAAAATACTTAAATATCAACCAACCTTTAGTGAGTGATATAAAAATACTTAAATATCAACCAACCTTTAGTGAGTGATATAAAAATACTTAAATATCAACCAACCTTTAGTGAGTGATATAAAAATACTTAAATATCAACCAACCTTTAGTGAGTGATATAAAAATACTTAAATATCAACCAACCTTTAGTGAGTGATATAAAAATACTCCAATGCCAACCAACCTTTAGTGAGTGATATAAAAATATTCAAATGGCCAACCAACATTTAGTGAGTGAGATAAAAATACTCCGATGGCCAACCACCAATGGCCAACCAACATATAGTGAGTGAGATAAAAATACTCCAATGTTAACCAGCTGCTTCTATTGTTACATCAGATGCGGCTGGTCCTGAAGACCTTATTTATGCTGGTGTGTTGTGGTCTGTGCATCCTCCTGCTCAATTACTCAAGCATTTATTTTGGTGAGTTGTCTTTCGTTTTAATTATCACGTGCTTGGGTGAGTTATCTTTTTTTTTATAGCAACAAAAGTCTCATAACAAAAGTCTCATAACAAAAGTCTCATAACAAAAGTCTCATAACAAAAGTCTCATAACAAAAGTCTCATAACAAAAGTCTCATAACAAAAGTCTCATAACAAAAGTCTCGTAACAAGAGTCTAATAACAAAAATGGTTAATATAAAAAAAGTCGAATAACAAAAGTCTAATAACAAAAATGTACAATGACAAAAAAGTCTAATAAAAAAGTCTCAATACAAAAGTCTAAAAACAAAAGTCGCATAAAAATGTCTCAAAACAAAAGCCCAGTAACAAAAATGTCCGATGACAAAAAAAGTCTAATAACTAAAGTCTAATGGTGGAAATCTCAAAAACAAATAAACAATAACAAAAATGTCTAATAACAAAAGAACCAATAACAAAACTACCTAATAACAGTAGTCCACTAAAACAAAAGTCCAGTACAAATGTCTAATTACAAATGTCCACTACCTAACGCCCAATAACAAAAGATTGAAACCAAAAATGTCTAAAAACAAAAGTCTCATGACCAGGAGATAATTAATAAGACTATACAGATTCTCTGGGATCTTTGATTCTCCCCATTGTTGACTACTGTTGCTCAACCTCCACCCCCCCCCCATTGTTGACTACTGTAGCTCAACCTCTACCCCCCCCCCCATTGTTGACTACTGTAGCTCAACCTCCACCCCCCCCCATTGTTGACTACTGTAGCTCAACCTCTACCCCCCCCCCCCCATTGTTGACTACTGTAGCTCAACCTCCACCCCCCCCCCCATTGTTGACTACTGTAGCTCAACCTCCACCCCCCCCATTGTTGACTACTGTAGCTCAACCTCTACCCCCCCCCCATTGTTGACTACTGTAGCTCAACCTCCACCCCCCCCATTGTTGACTACTGTAGCTCAACCTCTACCCCCCCCATTGTTGACTACTGTAGCTCAACCTCCACCCCCCCCCCCCATTGTTGACTACTGTAGCTCAACCTCTACCCCCCCCCCATTGTTGACTACTGTAGCTCAATCTCCACCTCCCCATTGTTGACTACTGTAGCTCAACCTCCACCCCCCCCCCCATTGTTGACTACTGTAGCTCAACCTCTACCCCCCCCCCCCATTGTTGACTACTGTAGCTCAACCTCCACCCCCCCCCCCCCCATTGTTGACTACTGTAGCTCAACCTCTTCCCCCTCCCCATTGTTGACTACTGTAGCTCAACCTCCACCCCCCCCCATTGTTGACTACTGTAGCTCAACCTCTACCCCCCCCCCCCATTGTTGACTACTGTAGCTCAACCTCCACCTCCCCATTGTTGACTACTGTAGCTCAACCTCCACCCCCCCCATTGTTGACTACTGTAGCTCAACCTCCACCCCCCCATTGTTGACTACTGTAGCTCAACCTCTACCCCCCCCATTGTTGACTACTGTAGCTCAACCTCCACCCCCCCCATTGTTGACTACTGTAGCTCAACCTCTACCCCCCCCATTGTTGACTACTGTAGCTCAACCTCTACCCCCCCCCCCCCCCTCCATTGTTGACTACTGTAGCTCAACCTCCACCCCCCCCCCCCATTGTTGACTACTGTAGCTCAACCTCCACCCCCCCCCCATTGTTGACTACTGTAGCTCAACCTCTACCCCCCCCCCCCCCATTGTTGACTACTGTAGCTCAACCTCCACCTCCCCATTGTTGACTACTGTAGCTCAACCTCCACCTCCCCATTGTTGATTACTGTAGCTCAACCTCCGCCCCCCATTTTTGACTACTGTAGCTCAACCTCCACCCCCCATTGTTGATTACTGTAGCTCAACCTCCGCCCCCACACCCCTTCGGTATTAATTATTTCGGGGACGGGGAGGGGGGAGGGGGAGAGGTAAATTTAGAACAATGGTTAATCTTTTTTTTACTTCATTGTGTAGTATCTTTTGTTCTTGATATTTCGTATGTATATTTGTATAAGGCTATGGCCGTATGTCAGGAGGGACATGTAGACCCTCATACCAAGCACCCCCCCCCCCTTCTCACAACCAACAGCTGTATTTGTCTCTGTTCTTATCACAATTGTTTTATATTATTTAATGTAGTGAAATATGTCAAATATACCGTTGTTATAAGGTACTAGAGAAACAAAAATGACAGTAAATGAACAGAACCGTGTTTTAAAATTTATTTGTAAATTATTTTTGCAGGAAATTTTTCATCGGATGAATTCATAGATTACACTGAGGTAAAAACATTTGATATACTTCACAAAACATGAGTTAAAATATGTGATATACTTCACAAAACATGAGGTAAAACATGTGATATACTTCACAAAACATGAGGTAAAAACATGTGATACACTTCACAAAACATGAGGTAAAAATAAATGACATACTTCACAAACATGAGGTAAAAACATGATAAACTTCACAAAATATGAGGTAAAACATGTGATATAGTTCACAAACATGAGGTAAAACATGGGATATACTTCACAAAACATGAGGTAAAACGTGAAACACTTCACAAAACATGAAGTAAAAACTTGTGTTATACTTCACAAAACATGAGGTAAAAGCATTTGATATACTTCACAAAATATTAGGTAAAACATGTGATATACTTCACAAAACATGGGACTAAACGTTTTGTAACAAATAATATTCAAAATAAATTTTATTTTACGACTATGTATTTAGCTATTACGAGACGTAGTGTAGAGAGCTAGACTTCTAACCCGAGAGTCTAGAGTTCGAATCCGGGCTAAAGTCAGTAGAATGTCCACGAGTCCAATCACCTCTAACGTTTCACCTAACTCACGTTAAGGAAACTAAGACGGCTTTTCATAAAGCCTACCATGCTATCCTTTCATATGCCAAAGTCTTTGAAGCAGATGAACTCTACTTCATCTGCCCCGTGTGTCTTGGACACGAACGGCAAATGATCCCGATGCTGATTTAGCTATTAGATGTAGTGTTAAATGTGTATTGCTAAAATTTAGTTTAAACATAGGCATATTATACTTACGAGATGAAATAACCGAAATATCAAACCTAGAATTTACATTTTATCTTGCTGCATAAAAAAAAACTTTCAAATACTTCGAAAATCAACATCTGTAAATGATTTTATCTCTAGCATATGACTCAAATATTTAAGGAACACTTAATTTCAAATTTCTTTAAATTGGACTTACGTCTAATACAAGAGCTAACTGATTCAAATCTCGCTCTCTTCATCACAGTACATTCCCAACTGCACTGAGAACGCCGCAGAACAGCAGAACAATGAACACCTAGCGAAAACGGTTCAAAGGAAAATTACGGTAATTTTGTTGTTGTTGTTGTACGCTGTCATAGTATTTTTTTAAGCAATCAACCAAAACATTTTTTTTTGTGTCATTCGGTGAAGGAAATTTTTAAATTTCAACATCTTGGCTGGGTAATACAGTTTTAACTCTGATCGATTCCCATTAACTGACAAGAGTATATTTTCTCGACTTCTTTTATTTGGGTTACGTTTATATCAGCTAAAACAATAATCTGGTAGATTTACAGCGAACCTTATTTTATGTAATATATATTATCCACCCTATATAAATATTTGAAGTGTAGGGTGTCGCATGTTTGAATTCTTTTAAAACAAATTTTTAAAACAAAAGAGGAACTTGTAAATTTTGAAAAAATGACACAAAATTAATATAAGGTACAAAATCTGTACTGAACATTCAAGTAAATCAAGTAAGTACATTAATAAATTTATATATATATATATATATATATCAGGTTGTTAATTTGTTAATTAAATTGCAACATTTCTCAGATCTCTGCAAGTGAAGATGTCCCTTCTCTCACAATTGTTACAATGTTTCTACGCCTAGGATCTCTCCAGAAGGGCTTCAGTGGCCTGTACAACACACATGACAAGTACAAGCAATGGATGATCACGTGGGGCTGGATGACCAATCACGTGATCATATTTGTAGACGACGAAGAGATATCTCAGTATTTTAAGTAAGTCGATAACCCACCCCAGGATTCTAGAGGTATACTTTTTGTTCTGGTGGAGGAAAAGATTATTAAAGACTGCAGCACGGAGGCGTAGCGATCCTTCCCGGCGCCCGGGGACAAACTTTCGATTTGCACCCTCCTCAAACTTTCGATTTGCACCCTCCTCAAACTTTTGATTTGCACCCACCTCCCCCCCCCCCCCCTCAAACTTTCGATTACTTTCTCCAACCCATTTTGGCGCCCCCTAAGGTCGGCGCCCGGGGACATATGTCCCCCCCCTGCCCCCCCCCCCCATCGCTACCCCTCTGCTGCAGCATCTTATGCTGATCTCCAGGTCAACTTGATAACAGCAGCCGTGGTCACGTGTGAAAATTATCATCCGTGAAAATCTGGCATTGCATGGTTAAAAACGGGATATTGTCATGGGGAAAAGATCATTTGTTTTGTATTATTTAAATTTTGCATTTCTCTGTTGTACGAAGATTTGTATCATTACATAGTTATACAAAAATTATTTCTGCTTAGATAAATCTTTTGCTAAATATATATTTTTTCTTCTTATCCGCAAAAAAAAAAAAAAATACGTTATCTCCCTTCGATTGTGTAAGAAAATAAAAACCAAGGGAAGCAATCAAATAATACATTGAAAACAATGATACAGTCTCTTGTCTAACACCGTTACTTTTCGGCCTTCACATGTGCGCAAATGATGTCTTTCTAAAATACACTGTAAATATTAAAATAATATATTCGGGTGCCAAAATTCTAATGTAGGTTATAATTTTTTTTATCTAGGTAGTAAGAATATGACATGAACGCTTTGATGAACTTGTCAGGGCAAATGTATTTTTAATCTCCGAATTTTTTTTTATTCAATCGACTTTACTATTTATGTTTTTGGTTTAAATTTTAACTTACATTTTTTGAGAATGTCACTTCCGGAAGGAGATTCAAACAATAAACAAACAATAGTTTTTGAATTTTAAAATGACCGAAAATTTACTTTTAGACGACAGAACAATGCTTATGTTTATTGAGAAGGAGAGGCTTAAGACGTTTAAAGGATGGCCAAATGATAGTTCTTGGCACTGTACTCCAGAAAAGCTTGCACAAGCTGGATTTTACTTCAGCCCATGTTCTGATTGTCCTGACAATGTGTGCTGCATATTCTGCCTGAAAGAATTAGATGGGTGGGAGCCAGATGATGATCCAGTCAAAGAACACACAAAGCATTCACCCAAATGTCCCTTTTTGACTCTGAAGAAGCCAGTTGAAAATCTTACCACCACTGAATTTGTAAAATTAGCCATGGAAATATTGATGATAAAGACCGAGAAAATTTTTGACAAAAATATCAAGGAGTTTGAAGAGCAAGGCAAGGTGAACAGAAGTGCAATAACAGATCACATAAATGGAAACTAATGTAAAGAACATGACTCACATTTGTATATACTTGCCTTTGTTGCTAATGCATTTTTAAAAATAAAACCTTGTATACAATAATAAATAAAAATAAAAAAAAAAAAAAAAAAAAAAAAAAAAAAAAAAAAAACTTACATTTTTTGATAAGTCGTGAAAATCCAATAACTTTTTATTCTCAAGACCACGAGGTAGAGTACATCAGCTACCTTACTCGGGATAGATTTGTCTGATAATTGTTATTTTTCACCAACGACAGCTTGGTACCCGTTTCAGCTGTGTAAGCTCAACGACTTCTAATTGAACCAAACTTGAATGAGTTGAATGTGGTTGAATGATTTGTAAGTGCTCATATTCATATACCATACACGTTATCTTTTTATCAGACAAATCCGTTGCAAGCAGCCCGCCCACAGGACTGTGATTGTGAAAGTCAACAGGTCCCAGCTGGACGCCTTCAAGAACCTGGAGAGGATCAAACAAATCTACAGCAACAGCTCCTACCCCAAACATTCACCCAACACCATCAACGCCAACTACAGCTGCACCATGAGTGCTAAATATGACGTCATGACCATGGCACTAGACATGGGACTGGTCAAGACAAAATATCTGGCATGGATGGACATTGGTCTGTTTAGGTATGGACATTGGTCTGTTTAGGTATGGACATTGGTCTGTTTAGGTATGGACATTGGTCTGTTTAGGTATGTACATTGGTCTGTTTAGGTATGGACATTGGTCTGTTTAGGTATGGACATTGGTCTGTTTAGGTATGGACATTGGTCTGTTTAGGACATTGGTCTGTTTAGGTATGGACATTGGTCTGTTTAGGATATTGGTCTATTTAGGTATGGATATTGGTCTGTTTAGGTATGGACATTGGTCTGTTTAGGTATGGACATTGGTCTGTTTAGGTATGGACATTGGTCTGTTTAGGTATGGACATTGGTCTGTTTAGGTATGGACATTGGTCTGTTTAGGTATGGACATTGGTCTGTTTAGGTATGGACATTGGTCTGTTTAGGTATGGACATTGGTCTGTTTAGGTATGGACATTGGTCTGTTTAGGTATGGCATTGATATGTTCATGTAGATTGTATTAAAATTCTAACTTTTGATGTGCAAGTCTACATCTCTAGAAGATAGATTGTGCACATAACCGAGATATTTTTTTAAATAAACCGGGAGTGATCTCCCCATTAACTTTCTCGAATAATCTTATATAAAACAACAGGATATGTGTACTCGGGATATAGTTATGATTTTTAATCCCTCTTAAACGCTTAAACTTTTTAAAATAGAATAGAATCTCATAGAAAAAAGAATTGCGCACCAAGCGAACGCCGAATAAAGATGCGTATAATAGTACGGAATATTATTAGTACTTTATAAATTCACGTGCGTTTTTCGAGAAATCGGAAATAGTGAAAATTACTACTTCCGGTCAACGGAAATTACTCAGAATTTGACCGAAGGCAGAAAATTATATCTTTTATTTACATTTATTTACAATTGTTATAATGAGTCGTATATCAGGTCGCATTTGAGTCGAATTTTGGAGGGGAGCGGAAGCAATGAATATATAGAAATAAATTGAGGAGCCGCAGGATCCTGAGGTGGAGGGGGGTAGGAGGGGCAGACGTGTCACCACTTCTGCCAATCAGCTCTTCAAAAATAGCTCTTTCATGACAGACCACTATCACAACTTGTGCACGGAAGACGCGGGCTGGCTTGACCTCTGAACCCCGAAAGGTCTGACCGCTAGCCTCATACACACAACAAGGACCATTATTCGACCACATAGGCGACACAAGTACAGGGACGACGATACAGACAAATAGTAGATTCCTTAAATGAGTATAGTGTAAACATGGTGAGGGAGGGTGGCAACGGGCGTTGTAACTGAAATAGCAATATAAACAGAAAGTGATTAGATCTACAGAAAGTTACAACACACACCAAACACAACTGATCTAATACTTCAATATCTATTGCACTAATCAGAACGGTAGAGGACACAGACGGATGGCGTAGAATTATAAGGTCAACGAATCCAATAAGGGTTAATGGATGATGTTTAGGAATACTTCTAGATCTACCACACAACATACATAAGACACCCCCATATACAGCTGACATAATTATTCAATATGTGCTGTACGACACCACACAACATAAACAACCCCACATACAGCTGACCTAATTATCCAATATGTGATGTACGACACCACATAACATACTTAAGACAACCCCATATACAGCTGACCTAATTATCCAATATGTGATGTACGACACCCCACAACATAAACAACCCCATATACAACTGACCTAATTATCCAATATGTGATGTACGCCACCACACAACATACTTAAAACAACCCCACATACAGCTGACCTAATTATCCAATATGTGATGTACGACACCACATAACATACTTAAGACAACCCCATATACAGCTGACCTAATTATCCAATATGTGATGTACGACACCACATAACATACTTAAGACAACCCCATATACAGCTGACCTAATTATCCAATATGTGATGTACGACACCCCACAACATAAACAACCCCATATACAACTGACCTAATTATCCAATATGTGATGTACGATACCCCACAACATAAACAACCCCATATACAACTGACCTAATTATCCAATATGTGATGTACGATACCCCACAACATAAACAACCCCATATACAACTGACCTAATTATCCAATATGTGATGTACGACACCACACAACATACTTAAAACAACCCCATATACAACTGACCTAATTATCCAATATGTGATGTACGACACCACACAACATACTTAAAACAACCCCATATACAGTTGACCTAATTATCCAATATGTGATGTACGACACCACACAACATACTTAAAACAACCCCATATACAGCTGACCTAATTATCCAATATGTGATGTACGACACCACACAACATACTTAAAACAACCCCATATACAGCTGACCTAATTATCCAATATGTGATGTACGACACCACACAACATACTTAAAACAACCCCATATACAGCTGACCTAATTATCCAATATGTGATGTACGACACCACACAACATACTTAAAACAACCCCATATACAGCTGACCTAATTATCCAATATGTGATGTACGACACCACACAACATACTTAAAACAACCCCATATACAAATGACCTAATTATCCAATATGTGATGTACGACACCACACAACATACTTAAAACAACCCCATATACAGCTGACCTAATTATCCAATATGTGATGTACGACACCACACAACATACTTAAAACAACCCCATATACAGCTGACCTAATTATCCAATATGTGATGTACGACACCACACAACATACTTAAAACAACCCCATATACAACTGACCTAATTATCCAATATGTGATGTACGACACCACACAACATACTTAAAACAACCCCATATACAGCTGACCTAATTATCCAATATGTGATGTACGACACCACACAACATACTTAAAACAACCCCATATACAGCTGACCTAATTATCCAATATGTGATGTACGACACCACACAACATACTTAAAACAACCCCATATACAGCTGACCTAATTATCCAATATGTGATGTACGACACCACACAACATACTTAAAACAACCCCATATACAGCTGACATAATTATCCAATATGTGATGTACGACACCACACAACATACTTAAAACAACCCCATATACAGCTGACCTAATTATCCAATATGTGATGTACGACACCACACAACATACTTAAAACAACCCCATATACAGCTGACCTAATTATCCAATATGTGATGTACGACACCACACAACATACTTAAAACAACCCCATATACAGCTGACCTAATTATCCAATATGTGATGTACGACACCACACAACATACTTAAAACAACCCCATATACAGCTGACCTAATTATCCAATATGTGATGTACGACACCACACAACATACTTAAAACAACCCCATATACAGCTGACATAATTATCCAATATGTGATGTACGACACCACACAACATACTTAAAACAACCCCATATACAGCTGACCTAATTATCCAATATGTGATGTACGACACCACACAACATACTTAAAACAACCCACATACAGCTGACCTAATTATCCAATATGTGCTGTACGACACCACACAACATACTTAAAACAAACCCACATACAGCTGACCTAATTATCCAATATGTGATGTACGACACCACACAACATACTTAAAACAAACCCACATACAGCTGACCTAATTATCCAATATGTGCTGTACGACACCACACAACATAAACAAGCCCACATACAGCTGACCTAATTATCCAATATGTGATGTACGACACCACACAACATACTTAAAACAAACCCACATACAGCTGACCTAATTATCCAATATGTGATGTACGACACCACACAACATACTTAAAACAACCCCATATACAGCTGACCTAATTATCTAATATGTGATGTACGACACCACACAACATACTTAAAACAACCCCATATACAGCTGACCTAATCATCCAATATGTGCTGTACGACACCACACAACATACTTAAAACAACCCCACATACAGCTGACCTAATTATCCAATATGTGCTGTACGACACCACACAACATAAACAACCCCACATACACCTGACCTAATACTTCAACAGCAGCCCTGGGGCCAGCAGCTTCAATTTCACGTACGACTTTCTAAATATAAACCTAAATCATATTTTTAAAAGAACTCAATCAGATATTTTCTTCTTTCTATTTTTAAAACCAACTATTTATAAATGTCACGGCCATTTAGCGTAACAAAACCCAGATCGAGATGAGACGATAGTGTGGTACATGTACACATAGAACCCAATCTACCCATCTAACATGGGTGAATGTCGCTAATAGGACATTATCGTCCGCATTACCTTGTTGCATGTAAGACATCATGTGAAGTCGTAAAATCATAAAAAATATTGGGTTGAACAATAGATCTAATCTAGGCTTTTGCTTATGTTTCTTGTAGGTTTTTTTGCATATGATGTGTCCATGAAGTCCTTTGCCTGTCTACATCTCTAGTAACCTTTTACCTTAGTCAGTCGATAGTATTGAAGTATGTTAACGATGGTAACACATTAGAGCCAAACACGGAGGTCAATTAGAGGCTGATAATTAGGGTCATGGGACAGCTTGGCCTAGTGGTAGAGTGCTAGACTGCTAACCCGAGTTCGAATCCTGGTTTAAGTCAGTTAGGGAAAGTAAAGGCGGCTGGGCATAGTACTGACCACACTATTTGTTGATATGCCGAGAACAAGAAACATGAGAACTCTACTTCATCTGCACCATGGATCGGTAGGTCTAAAGAGTAATGATTTTTATAATTCGTGTCTTTTAGAGTTGAGTTACTTGGCGGGTTTTATAAACATTACACGACGAAGAATACATTTTGAAAATATACTGTGAACATACTTAAAACAATGTAAACACTTAAAGAAGTTTACACAACTTGAGATTTGAAACATAACCGACTTTCTTTTATAAAATCATAGACATAATCAAGGATATTTAGTGTAATTTCTATGTTAAAACCATTGGCATCCTAAATTAAATTTTTAAACTGTTAAAGAAATTGATTAATATACTCTTTGATATCTGAACCTAGTCAATATTTTAGAAAGAAATCGACGTTTTAAAAACACTAAAAAAAATTAAAACGCAGCGATTACAACATAGTCTCATCTATGTAAATAAATAAACGTGCATGAAACCAACAAGCAAGTATTAAAAAAATAAAAAAATACTTCTAATAAACTATATGTAGTACAAAGGGTGTAAATAACATCTGGTGTAAGACAAGGCCAGCCCTATTCAACAAAGATTGCTCTTTCATACGTCCAACGTGTTTAAAACGTGCTGTCGTTATGCACTATTGTAAGACTGGCTCAATACATTTTACAATGACTATTTAAACATAAATTTAAAAAAAAAATTCGATAGCCTTGAAATGGGTCGTGTGTCGCGGAACAAAAAAAAATAGGTCGGAGGCGGAACAGCCATCTGCTCCCTCCTCCCCCCTCAGCCAGTTTGCGGAACCCCTCTAACCCTCCGCCTCCCCAATTTATTTCTATATATTCATTGCTCCCCCTCCCCCTCAAAATACGACTCAAATTTGACCTGATATACTACTATAAAGTTCAACTGTTAAATAATGTTCAACGAAAATATTTTAAATTAGTTTTCCAAACTTGAATAATTTTACCATTGTTTAAGTTTTCCCACATTGCCAAAATTTTACATTCCAGAAATCTCCTCAAGAAGAGGCTGAAACCCAAAAACAACAGCTTCACCATGGAGGTACCTGCAGACTTCAACAGCAGTCGAGTGGGGTTTACACAGGTGTCGTCAAGACAAGCCATGGAGAGGCTCAGCCCGTGGGAGTACATCAGAGATAATCATGTCTGGGTGGCAGGGGGTCACGTGATGGGCACTCACGAGGTTAGGCTTGGGTTAAAAATAACTTTTTAATAGTTACATTTAAATTTTCTAACCACAACTAGGTCTCTGATTGGATAATTGGTTTGTGACGTCATCATCTTTTATGGGATGTTGATGGCGTAGGAAACTCCCTATTAAGATGAAATTAAACTGGCACAGGCATAGCGTCGTGTCATTTATTGACGACTCCGTGTTAGCTTCATAAACTTTGGCAGACCTGCCATTATCATTGTCCTTTTAGCAATAGTTCATCAAGCCCATAGAGTCAGTGACGTAGCGAGGTCGGGTGTTACCCGGTGCGGCACTTAACGGCACTTAATGGTGTCACCACCCAAAGGCGTAGCGACCCTTCCCGGGGACAAACTTTCAATTTTCGATTTGCACCCCCCTCAAACTTTCGATTTGCACCCCCCCCCCCAAACTTTCGATTTGCACATTTTAAAAGACTATTAAACACTCGAATTAATCACTTAATTAAGTGGAACTATCATTTGTCTCTATATATTTTGCTATTTGTTACCTTGGTGTCACCCCTCCCCGAAATGGTGTCACCCGGTGCGGTCCGCACCCCCCCCCCCCCCTCGCTACGCGTCTGCATAGAGTATGTAGCCAGGGATTTGAATATTCGACTCTATATTTTAAATATTGTACAATTTACCTGCAACCTTCCCCAGGTAATCCGCACGTTCATCACGTCGTACAAATATGTATCCCAGGAGCTGATCAAGGCCGGCATGTCCAGCACTGACCAGCAGGTGATTGGAGCCATGTACTCACCTCAGTTCCGACACCTGCAGAAGGTGGACATACAGGGGTACTCGTGTGTGGACGGACAGTTTGGTCTTGATGGTTCAGACGCTGATTATTTCTGCTTGAGTTATGCATGCAAGGAGGCTGGACCAGCTAAATATAGAACGTCTATCTTGTAAAAAATTAAGATAGTCAAAAGTTGACCTGTGCCCTCTTTTAAGAACTGTGATATTTCTATAATTATTGAAACCACTGCTTATGTTTTCTACATGCTAGGGTTATATGAACTACACATGCATTTATTATGTTTGAATATGTGCAACGGTATGACATTTTGCTGATACAAATCAGAAAACTAATGTAAGGAGCATTTTGACAATCAACTCAACAAGAAAGAATTTGACATTATATCATTTTTTTAAATTGTGTGTGGTGTAGTGCTATCATATGTTTACGCCTTTCACAACTGTACAGTAACAATTATTTAAGCAGCCGGTAAAATGAAGCAGTTAAACTATTATGTAATGCCCTCGTCCGTATCTTTACATAATGTTTTTAAACTATTATGTAATGCTCTCTTCCATATCTACATAATGTTTTTAAACTATTGTGTAATGCCCTCGTCCATATCTTTACATAATGTTTTTAAACACGTATTAAATATGCCGCTTTGTGTCCATGATATAGTCAGACAGAATGTCCTTACATAGAGTGTTGATTAATATCGATTTTCGTGATCGTGCACAAAATAAAAATGCTTGTTATGACTTACTTGACTTAGCCCCATTTGCTCCTTATGGAACATAGTGCCTCAACCATTTCCTTCTATTTCATCCGATCCCCGGCTATTAATTTTGCCATCTCCCAAGACATCCCTGTTGGCTTCAGTTCTTCAAGAAGACTCCGCCTCCAGGTCTGTCTAGGGCACCCTCTCTTTCGCTTTCCCTGGGGGTTCCACTCAAGCGCTTGGCGTGTAACATTTGTGTAAGCCTTTCGCAGTGTGTGACCCACCCAGCGCCACTTCCTCCTTCTTATTTGCACACCCATAGGCTCCTGCCTAGCTTTCCTCCATAGTTCTATGTTCGGCACTTTGTCCTGCCATGTTTCAATATCTGTCTAAGGCATCTGTTCATGAAGGTCTGTATCTTTGTTGTGGAGACAAAATTGCTTGTTATAAGCGTGTGATTAGTTTGCAACACAGAGAAGCTATTTTCGTATTTGAGGTTAATATGTTTGTATTGGAAGAGATATAACTCTATTACGTTCTAATTTAAAAAAACTTTCCATACGTGATATTAGGCCTATACATGTTTTGAATGTGTATGACTTAGCTTGAAATTTTTAGGGTTAACGTAATCAAAGTATATAGGTTATGTACATAGCATAAATAATTAAAGTTAAATATTCCCAACGTTAAATTAGTATCCGAGTTTCAATTAAACGATTTACACGATTTCACATAAACATCGTCCGATCAGAAATCTGCGCATTGTTTTAAGGTTTGTATTAAAGGAGATATGACAATGAAAATAGAAATATTTCAAATTGTGTGTGTTAAACAAGCCAATATGTGAGATTGTGTGGATATCTGGGGGAGGGAGTAGACTAAAAGATGGTGTCTCAGACAACATAGACAAGGATAAATGGAATTGATACAGTAAGCAAAAACACAAGGAAGTAATTTAAAAAAATAACGAACAAATGTATGATTGTCAAATTTTTTGTGCGTAAGTATCTGGTTTGTAAATCGATTTGATATATTATTATGTACATTCAATTAATTAATTCTTGCTTTGTCCTATTTAATGTAATGTTTATTGAAATGATTCTCCATTTTTAAATAAACTGCTTTTAAAATCAACTAGATAAAACTGCATTTCGCTGGTTTGATTATAAAAATATGATTTCTTTCTTATTAAACTGGGTTTTTTTTTTTGTGTTTGGTGATCGATTAGTAGAGCACTTGATTACCAGGCCGGATGTTTTGTATTTGAGCTAATACCACTGGTCTAGTTAAATAACTGTGTCTGTCCAAGGTCAATATAGGTCTAAATATTCAGCTTTATGTCAAAAGCTACAGAATATAGGACTAAACATTCAGCTTTAAGTCAAGAAGCTAAGGAATATAGGTCTAAATATTCATCGTCTAGTCCAGGAGTCTCCAAACTTTTCAGTCCGAGGGCCGCATTAACTATCACATTTCAGTTCGGGGGCCAGTTTCTTCCAGGCATGTCTTTGATTTTTCTGGACAAAGTTCCTCAGCCATCACCAACAACGATTTTTCCTTGGACAAAAAGATCTCCGCGGGCCGTATCCGACCCGCGGGCCGTAGTTTGGAGACCCCTGGTCTAGTTAATAGCTAAGAAATACAAGTCTAAACATTCAAAGTCAAGTCGGTAGGTAAGAAATACGAGTCTAAACATTATACGTCAAGTCAATAGCTACAGTATACAAACCAAACCATTCAACCTAAAACATAACCCAAGTCTCACACAAGCTATAACAAACCATAACGTTAAACTTCGTCTTTACCATTACCCACATACCTCTAGATTGAACTGCTCCCAGCTCCGTATCGAGGCAGCCGACTTAGTATATGCGGCGTTGTGTGCAACAAACAAATTGATCGATCTTAACTGTGGGGCTTGTAACCATTACAAATTATGTAGAGCTGTTTCGTCTGTTTAGAATATATACCGCATTCTTTTAGGAAAAACTTGAAGGATTGTTTTAACCAGGTGAGTTGATCAAAGATAACATTATTCTATTTAGTTATATGCTTATGTGTCGTTTGAAATATATTTTAGCTTTATATCAAATTGTTAGAATGTTTGACAAGATAAGAATTATTTTCACATTTGTTATGTGAGCACACACGGATATAAACTTTCAATCTTAAGGTCGCCATATAAGCCTATATATATATATATATATATATATATATATATATATGTGTGTGTGTGTGTGTGTGTGTGTGTGTTTATATACAGGCTTATATGGCGACCTTAATGTTTTAAGTCTATATATATGTATATATATGTATATATATATATATATATATATATATATATATATATATATATATATATATATATATATATATATATTTATATATAAATATATATATATATATATATATATATATATATATATATATATATATATATATGTGTGTGTGTGTGTGTTAATTTACCATTATATATAGGTAGCGGACTATGCTATGTTTCTACATTAATCTAGAGCTCAATGCTAGGTTGAAGAAAATGGGTGATATTAATGTTGATCCTGCATTAATGTAAAAACATTAATAGTAATTACACATTAATATGGTGGTCAAGAGTTATGAACTCGAATACAAACAATACAAAACACATACAAAAGCAGAAGTGGTTGTTGGTTTCGGTTCAAGTGTTGGTGGGGGGGGGGGGTCGAGGTAGCGTTCAAAAACTGTTGAAATGTAGACGTATTAAAAGCGTTTTTAAAGTTTTGTTCGTTTTTTAATTAAAAAACAAACATTTCTTATAAAACTTTAGGTTATTAACATTTCAGTGTGACACTGAAGCATAGTCCGCTACATATACACATAAACATTTTGTTTGAAACATTCCACTGTTTGTTATGAGCAAAAATGTAGAGGTCATCAACACAAAGCTGAATTTAAAAAAAAATCAATGCAAATAAGGTTTAAGCTGTTTAAATTTCGATCTAAAAACCACTGAATGTCAACATCTGTTAAAAAAAAGCAAATGGTGACAAGTAGCGGATTAAGGGGGAGGGGTGGGGCTGAGAGGACTGCAGTAAGGGCCCCCGATTTTTAGGAACTCAATTTACTGTTTAATCTATAAAAACTTAAGTTTTAATGTTTGCATCACAAGCTTCAATTTATTTTTCACAAAATATCTCACACGCACCCACACGCATATATATATATATATATATATATATATATATATATATATATATATATATATATATATATATATATATATATATATATATATATATATATATATATATATATGTGTGTGTGTGTATGTGTGTGTGTGTGTGTGTGTGTGTCTGGTCCCCTAAACCATTTCAGCCGCGGCCCCTCTCAAGCTTAATCCACCCCTGATGGTGACATCATCTCAGCTAACTATATGAAATATTGCAAAACGAGCCGGCCCGCGGCATAACATACGCCGCTATTCAGTTGTTGTTTTTTCTACTTTTCAGTAATTCAAAATTTGTGAATTCGACAGTACCAACGCTGCCACTGAAAATATTTCTTTAAAAAACTATAAGTAGCTCGTTAAGGACCATACCCCCCCTTCCTTCCTTTCTCCCCCCCCCCCCTACGTTTAAAATCGTTGGCTCTGCTTGTAAACATTTAGAGTGAATACAGCTCACTAAAACCATGTAGGGGTGGGGAGGTAGGGAGCGCTTTTACAGCTTGTTTTCTAGGCGCGTTTGCAGCTTGTTTTCTAGCGGCTCCCAGAAGAGAATTATATATATAGATGTTTGTGTCATTGCTTTCTGGTTGAAATAAAAAGATTATTTCTGCAAAAGTTTAAAGTTCAGGGTACAGTTATCGTGGTAAGCTTTAAATTTTATCTTCAAATTAAAGCTTTTTGTAAAAAAAAAAAAAAAAGAAACTGTACTTTCTAGGGTTTCTGTGTTTGTAGAGAAAAATCATATTTTTATAAGCTTTTATTTGTGGTAGGTTTGTGAATTTCTTACAATTTTAACTTAATCTGCCCACTTCTGAAGCAGCGAGCCAGCAATCTCGTTCAAGCTTTCTATATACATTAATCTCCAATGACAATGCAATAATATCTACTTTTCAATCTTATTAGACATGGTTAGTGATTACAAATTTAATTTAAAACTTACTAAATTCAATAATATTAAGGGACCTTCAAACCATCACAAGCCGATGATGAAAACTGTAATACTCAAGCGAACTGACGCTGTTAATTACATATAATTGATCTTGGAGTTATAACAAGGGGGGGGAGGGGCTGACCGTAGAGTTGTATTGTCCCTAACCAAATTTTTATATAGACAAATTACATTTTATCTACATAAACGTTAACGAAGCGTCATAAAGATTATCATTGCTTGCTGTCCAGACTGGGAAAGTCTTCGCTTGATCCGACTTGCGAATAGTTTCCTTTTTATTTCTTTTCTTTCTCCTGTCGTTTCATCTCGTGTTTAATTAAAACTTCTTTCAAATTTCCTGGCCAATACGTTGAATGGTGATGTGAATTCTTATCGAGCTGGGTTTTATAAGATGTGACTTTGATGAATCGATTGATCCGGGGTAACGAGATCGATAATTGAGACGACGGGTTGGAAACTCTGCCGTAGCGTTCTCTGGTGCTTTTGTATTTAACAAAAATAATCGCCACTGAGTCCATTTACATTTCTGTATAATTTTAATTTAGAATTCCGTTTCATGCACGTTAACAATACACATTATCTACATCCACCCGATCTTGATATCATAAATTATTCATATCCACTCTGATGTTGATAATAAACATTATTCACATTCACTCCGATATTGATAACAAACATTATTCACATTCACCCGATGTTGATAATAAACATTATTCACATTCACTCCGATATTGATAACAAACATTATTCACATTCACCCGATGTTGATAATAAACATTATTCACATTCACCCGATGTTGATAATAAACATTATTCACATTCACTCCGATGTTGATGATAAACATTATTCACATTCACTCCGATGTTGATAACACTAACAACACAAAACGTCAAAACTTCCTGACTCATAGAAACCACGTGTGCTAGTCTTGTGTATGTGTGTTTGTATGTGTATGTTTGAGTGCGCGTCCGTGTGTGTGTATGCGCGTGTGTGTGTGTATGCGCGTCTTCGTGTGTAACATAGTTTCTCAAAAATGTAATGCCCAGTTTACAATATAAATACTTCTAAAAAGAACACTCAACCTTATCCATATCTATCATTAACTATAACACATTTCTGATTATTCTAAGAATTAATAACATTCTACAATATATGCACTGCAACCGCTAGTTAATGAACTATTTAAAATATTTTAAAAATTACTCACCTTTATAAGACAAATAAAGCGGGAGTGATCTCCCCTAAACTTTCTCGAATTTTCTTATATAGAACTGGGGGGTATGGCAACTTGGGATATAGATCGATATATGATTTTTAATCAATTTCTTAATACTTAGGCCTAAACTTTTTAAAATAGAATAGAATCTCGTAGAAAAAAAATTGCACACCAAGTGAACGGCAAACAATAGGCGTATAATAGTGCGGAATATTAGTACTTTATAAATTGATTTATAAATCGAAAATAGCGTAAATTACTACTTCCGGTAAACGGAAATAACTCAAAATTTGACAGATGGCGGAGAATTAGAATTTGTAAATAAAATCGCTGAAATCTTGATACAGAACTAGAAACTTGATATAATACTCATATACGAAATTTCATCAACCTAGCTGTAACGGTACTCAAGTTGTAGTGTTCACAGACATACACACACACACACATACATTCGGACAAAATTGTAAAACTATGTTTTTCCGACTCAGTGAGGTGTAAAACGTCGATATTTCGATTTTTTGCACAATTACAATACTTTCTTTAAACTTCGTCTACGAGAAAGTAAAAAGAACAGTCACGTGAAACAGTTTAAAACTGTTTGTACAGGTGCCTCAAATTTGATGGGTTCATTAGGCCGGGTTCAATCTAGGTTCGATTTCCGTTTTTTGCCTAGAACTGCGTTGATTATCAAAATGTCAAACTTCAATTGATTAGGAATGTCCATTTGGTATTATAGTGTATTGTATAATATTAACATTTTTTCGGGCAAACGGCATTCAGACAAATGGCTTTCGGGATTTGTTCGTATTCGGGCAAATATCCATTAGGGCTTTGGTCGTATTCGGGCAAGTGTCAATTCGGGCTTTGGTCGTATTCGGGCAAGTGTCCATTAGGGCTTTGGTCGTATTCGGGCAAGTGTCCATTAGGGCTTTGATCGTATTCGGGCAAGTGTCCATTAGGGCTTTGGTCGTATTCGGGCAAGTGTCCATTATGGCTTTGGTCGTATTCGGGCAAGTGTCCATTAGGGCTTTGATCGTATTCGGGCAAGTGTCCATTAGGGCTTTGGTCGTATTCGGGCAAGTGTCCATTAGGGCTTTGGTCGTATTCGGGCAAGTGTCCATTAGGGCTTTGGTCGTATTCGGGCAAGTGTCCATTAGGGCTTTGATCGTATTCGGGCAATTGTCCATTAGAGCTTTGATCGTATTCGGGCAAGTGTCCATTAGGGCTTTGGTCGTATTCGGGCAAGTGTCCATTAGGGCTTTGGTCGTATTCGGGCAAGTGTCCATTAGGGCTTTGGTCGTATTCGGACAAGTGTCCATTAGGGCTTTGGTCGTATTCGGGCAAGTGTCCATTAGGGCTTTGGTCGTATTCGGGCAAGTGTCCATTAGGGCTTTGATCGTATTCGGGCAATTGTCCATTAGAGCTTTGATCGTATTCGGGCAAGTGTCCATTAGGGCTTTGGTCGTATTCGGGCAAGTGTCCATTAGGGCTTTGGTCGTATTCGGGCAAGTGTCCATTAGGGCTTTGGTCGTATTCGGGCAAGTGTCCATTAGGGCTTTGATCGTATTTGGGCAAGTATCTTTCGGGCAAACGTCAGGTTACCATCAACTATCAAACGTGTAAGCGATTTTTAAATAAATTTAGCTAAAAAAAGAGTTGTGTTGGTTTGAGGGTGCGATGATTAGCGAATGGAAGTTGTGACAAAAATATCCAGAACTTGAATCAAATACACATAGATGGAATAAAGCGACCTTAGTTAAAGACAATAATCCCTTATTGCAAACAGCTATTTAGGAGTAAATCAACTATACAGAGATGTAATCAGATGCCTATTCACAAACTGGTTTAATCTTGTGATCAAGTTTCAGATAGCACAACATCTTGTCTACACAAAAGTGTCTCAACCTCCCAGAAAACATGCCGGTGATGTCGAAAAAGTGCCAGCTAGGGACTCTGGTTTTGGTTATTTTGGTACTGACAATCAGGCTTTGCTCCAACAACTGGGTGGTGAGTCATTTAATTAATTAGTTTAATTAAGCTTACCAAACACTTCGTTAAACTACCTCGATGAGTATTTGCAAAATTGTAATAATTACCATTAATATACTCTTATCAAATGCGGTGTTTAAAAAGCTTTATTTTTTTAAAAAAATTAAGACGCAAATTCTTTGCAATAACGTTTTAAGAGAAAATATCAGTTAAAAAAGAATTGTGTAACCAAAAGAGAGAACATACACCTAATCAATGCTAAAGAATAAAATCATTAGAGCGTTTCAAATGTAGGCCTATGCATCCGTGTCGCAAGAACAGGTTGCGAATATGTTTTGCTTCAAGGAGGAAGTGAGCAAAATGTAAAATGTCTTGGTCGATTCGGATAAAGGCTCAATGTAACCAGTTATACAACAACTAGATCAATAATGGTTTAGCGGTTTCTGATGATTTGATGTAGTGAGTTGGTAAGATAAAGAACGGGCAAAAATCTTTTCATTTGAATAGTATGGAGAATTTTCGTGACACTAATTGACGTATATATATATATATATATATATATATATATATATATATATATATATATATATATATATATATATATATATATATATATATATATATATATATATATATATATTCTACAGATTAATGTAATTGGCTACAACTCTCAAAAAGAAATAAAAGCATTTCAATTGAGTCAAGCTGTCAAACAAAACAATCAGATCAACACACAAGCCCCAGTAAAAAATACTACACCACCAACAACAACACACGAAGTTAAGCCTCCGGTCAGTCGCAGTCGCTCATTCACTCGGGTCCCAGGCCAAGATATATACATCTACTCGGCTATAGCTAACATTGAATACGAGGAGAAAAAGAAGCAGCTGGAAGCTAAAAATATCCCCAGCTTTGACCTGGAGCTGATCCTCACGACGCTTGACGCCACTAGACACGGTTACAACTGCTGCGTCATCTACCATGACCCCGAGTCGGTGACTCTAACCGTGACGCCTGCTAGCCACTACTTTAGGGAGTTTATTGTGGGTGGTCCGTCCAATGAAAAACTTTATGCCGCACGGCAATATGTCTGTCATGGAACAGTCTCTACTGCAAACAACATGCCGGAATACGCTACATTGACCTCCAGTTCCAAGTGCCCAACAGACACGAAAGATTACCTGAAAGTCTTGTACCCAACTAAACAACCTGGCATTGCACTATGTGGTAAAATAGCTCACAGTGGAGGTGTGGAACCACAAAAAGCCATTGAATGGTTTGAGATGCAAAAACTTCTTGGAGTTGATAAAATTCTGATCTACGACTTGGGAAATCCCAAAGGTTTAACGCGGGTATTTAGACATTACCAACAGGAAGGGATTCTAGACTTGCAGCCGTACGAACTTCCGGGGGAGCCGGAAACCCGATCACTGACAGAGGCGTACAAGCACACGGCACAGTTTAATTATGACGAGACTTTGGCGGTCCTGGAGTGTAGGCATAGGATGGCGGGCTATGATTACGTCATCAGTCATGACATGGACGAGATGATCATACCACGACAGGCAGTCAATTTAAAAACGTTTTTTCAGGTTAGATTTTTAATTTACTGTCACAATACAATAAACGTTTATAATTAACGGATGTTGGGTCGACAGTCGATTTTATGCGTTAAAAACTAAAAACTATTCATTTTATTTTAACCTCTTGTATATTTTCTATACTTATCCAATTTCATTAGTACAATGTGTTCTATTTTTAACATGCATGGGCTAAATCCTTAATCAATACCCCGAATATATATGTTGTGAAACAAAGGAAATATGTTTTAATCAATAACTATGATTGTTGTGTTGTATATCAAAGAAAAAAAAAACGCACAAAAATACAAATCTGTGTTATTCCGACTGAAAGAGTTGTAAAACGTCGAGATTTTCGATTTTTTGTACGATTACTCAATTCTTTCTCTATACTTCGTTCAAGAAAAAAGAAAAATGTTCCCACCAATGACTTTGTTGTATGTTGTGTATGACAGGAAAAATGGTCCCAGCATTGTACTTTCTATGTTGTGTATGACAGGAAAAATGGTCCCAGCATTGTACTTTTTATGTTGTGTATGACAGGAAAAATGGTCCCAGCATTGTACTTTCTATGTTGTGTATGACAGGAAAAATGGTCCCACCAATGACTTTGTTGTATGTTGTGTATGACAGGAAAAATGGTCCCATCATTGTACTTTCTATGTTGTGTATGACAGGAAAAATGGTCCCACCAATGACTTTGTTGTATGTTGTGTATGACAGGAAAAATGGTCCCAGCATTGTACTTTCTATGTTGTGTATGACAGGAAAAATGGTCCCACCAATGACTTTGTTGTCAGAGTTTCTTCCAGGCATCTCTTCGGGGGGGGGGGGGGGGGGGGCAAAGCCCCCCCGAAAATTTTTTACCGCCCCCCCCCCCGAACGAAATGAAATTTATATAATTTATATAGAAAATATATACTTTTAACAGTGTCCGCCCCCCCCCCGAAGAAAGTTTACCGCCCCCCCGAAGATTTCAAGTGCCCCCCCGGAGAAAAAAGTCTGGAAGAAACACTGTTTGTTGTATGTTGTGTATGACAGGAAAAATGGTCCCAGCATTGTACTTTCTATGTTGTGTATGACAGGAAAAATGGTCCCACCAATGACTTTGTTGTATGTTGTGTATGACAGGAAAAATAGTCCCAGCATTGTACTTTTTATGTTGTGTATGACAGGAAAAATGGTCCCACCATTGTACTTTCTATGTTGTGTATGACAGGAAAAATGGTCCCAGCATTGTACTTTCTATGTTGTGTATGACAGGAAAAATGGTCCCAGCATTGTACTTTGTATGTTGTGTATGACAGGAAAAATGGTCCCAACATTGTACTTTCTATGTTGTGTATGACAGGAAAAATGGTCCCACCAATGACTTTGTTCTATGTTGTGTATGACAGGAAAAATGGTCCCATCATTGTACTTTCTATGTTGTGTATGACAGGAAAAATGGTCCCAGCATTGTACTTTCTATGTTGTGTATGACAGGAAAAATGGTCCCACCATTGTACTTTCTATGTTGTGTATGACAGGAAAAATGGTCCCACCAATGACTGTACTTTCTATGTTGTGTATGACAGAAAAAATGGTCCCACCAATGACTTTGTTATATGTTGTGTATGACAGGAAAAATGGTCCCATCATTGTACTTTCTATGTTGTGTATGACAGGAAAAATTGTCCCACCATTGTACTTTCTATGTTGTGTATGACAGGAAAAATGGTCCCACCAATGACTTTGTTGTATGTTGTGTATGACAGGAAAAATGGTCCCAGCACCCGACGGCTTCAGCTCTTTTCTTCCACACGGAATTTTTTCTCACCACCTGGGAGCCAAGCAATCCTGAGGAACAGCTGATGGTCAAACGCTTCAGGTGAGTCAAGGTGGTTCAGGTGAGTCAGGTGGTTCAGGTGGTTCAGGTCAGTCGAAGTGGTTCAGGTGGTTCAGGTGGTTCAGGTGCGTCAAAGTAATTCAGGTGAGTCAAGGTGGTTCAGGTGAGTCAAGGTGGTTCAGGTGGTTCAAGTGGTTCAAGGTGGTTCAGGTGAGTCAGGGTGGTTCAGGTGAGTCAATGTGGTTCAGATAAGTCATTAAACCTATCAGGGTGTCGATAGCATAACAATCTCACTAACATGCGGTTCTAAATTATGTATTTATTGTGGCTCTCATATAATTACTTTGGTTTTGTTTGTGTATGCGTGTTGCGTTTGGGTTAGCGTTAGCGTTTGTGCTTGTGTATTCGTTTGTGTTTTTTCTTTTGTGTTTTTGGTTGCATTGTTTTTGTGTTTGTGTTTGCGTTTTCTTTTGTGTTTGTGCAGGTATTTTCTTTCTTTTTTTTTTGCATTTGTGTTTGCATTTTCGTGTGTGTTTGCGTTGTGTTTGAGTTTTGAGTTTGCATTTGTGTTTGCGTTTGTGTTTTGATTTGTTCTGTTCCAAAGTTGGTACATTTAAAAAAGATTCACCGTAGCACGGGTATGCAGCTAGTTGTAAGTAGCTTAATTTTTTTAAAATCAAAATTTGAATATTTAGTTTTGATCTGGTGTGTAAAAATGTGTACTTGTAACCGTTGAGCTAATCTGTGACGTCATACAGGAACACCACAGTACCACGGTGGGAGTGCTACAAGTACGTGTACAAGCCGTCACGTGTCATTACGTCCATTACTCACACTGTGTTCGCCAGGCCAGGCTTTGGCACGTGAGTTTTATTGTAGCAACTTGTTGGGATTTATTTCTTCTGCAAATTACTTGACTGGGCCAATATAACAAGAGACTTGTTAGACTTACATAAACGTCTTAGTTTATATTTAAAGTATTGTCCAAACCCAGCCCAACAATTCATACTCACAACAAAGTGGCATTTACAGACCTTTTGGTCAAACATCTTGATGTATCACATTCCGTATATTTTGAAGATGTATGGACTTAACCAGAGTTTTGCATAACCGTATATCGATAATCTAAAATGGGTTAAATAATGTTTCAGTTTTAAACATTCGTGCTCTTTATTACTCTGCCCGCGACATTTGAAGAATCGAATATTCGATTTTTCAAATAAATGTTAGAATTAACGATAATACCAAAATGTACGGTAAACCTCGATTGTTTGGTATTTTTAATGAATATACTCAGTGCAGGGGCGGAACTACAGTGCCGCCAGACCCCGCAATGCGGGGGGGGGGGGGGGGGGGCACGACGTTTAGGGGCCCAATTTCGACCAAAAAAAACAATGAAGTTTCTTTTCATAAATTATGTTTTTCGTGCACCTTGATAGTGGTTTTGTAAAAAACAAACAGGTCTACTATAGCAGTGATTGTTCTACAGTAACTAACACACACTATTGCGTAGAAAAATATAAAATCTACAAGAGCTGTACTTTGAAAGGTAGTCAAATGTTCAGACTACTTCCGTGACTTACTGCCCTTCATTAAAACACAGGTGCCCATAAAGCTAATTTAAATAGTTTTGTACTATGTAAATTAAAAAGTAATTTATTCTCTTAATTATTATTTGAATAAGGTATACTGAAGAAATCTAGAGTTATAAAAATGAATGTATTCAAAACTAATAATATAAATACAAAAAATCATAAAAATAAACATAACGCGAGAAACCATTGCACAAATCAAGCTTACGTGTTTATATAAATTGGACCAGCTCGCAAAATATTGAATTTTTATTTTTCACAATTTTCGGTTAACATGAAAGTAATACTAACATTTGTAAAACACGATTATTTCGGGCGCGAAATGAAATCGGACTTATTTTTGTCTGATTCGTTATCTCAGAGTGGTTATACATTGCAATAAAATAGATCAAAATACTCAGGTAATAGACTATTTAAAATTTTGAGAAGCAGGCTATTTAAATATATATATATATATATATATATATATATATTATATATATATATATATATATATATATATATATATATATATATATATATATATATATAAATATATATATATATATATATATATATATATATATATATATATATATATATATATATATATATATAGGGCCCAAAAAATTTTTTTGCGGGGGAGCCTTTTTTTTCTAGTTCCGCCACTGACTCAGTGATATTTGCACAATCAGGTTTGGAATTGATCAATACTGGATACTTTAAAAAAATACTCTTTAAATTAATAAAAAAATAAAATAGAATAAATTAATACTATAAAAACGATATAATGTAATGAATATTTTTAAAAAATTTAAACCATGACCCTTTTTTAAGCGAAATTCGCTGAATATGTGACCATCCGTTTATAGGCCAAATGTCACAGATAACGTTTACTCTACGCCAGGGTCAACATTGAACCTAACGAGGCCATCTTACATCATTACCGGAAGTGCCCAGAGGACACCTGGAAGACCTGCAGCGTACCTTCCAAGATCGATGACGTCATGACCAGGTACAAGGACCTTGACCCGAAGGTTGTCAAGGTCAGAGAGGTCACGGCCATACAACCCCTCTATAAAGTTCGTCGTTGAATCAACTCACAGTGAAGACGAGATAAATCAAATTCTACTCACGGGGAAAACTAGAGAACAAAAATATACATAAATTTTTATACTTTATAAAGGGTAGGGTTGATATTACGGAGCATCGACTTGGGGTCTCATCCATAGCTTAGAGCTATCCTATCGTTATCTCAATGTGTAACAAGATGGGTTTAGACTTTTGTGACAGGGTTGTGGGGGGGGGGGGGGGGGTGACGATAGTTGAAGTTGCATATACATTTTTTTACGTTCTCGTAGTGGAAGTATTGTAATCGTGCACAAAAATCACATGAAATTTTGACAGTTTTCACCGCTTTACACCTCAGTACTTCATCACATCTGGAGTATAGGGGACTTATTTTAATCGGGTAAAAACTATTAATCCAGATTTATCACAATTTCGGCGTTTTACACATAATCGACTCGGAAAAATTATGTCCGTATGTCTGTGTGTGAATGTTTGTCTGTAAACACGATAAGTTGAGTACTGTTACAGCTAGGTTGATGAAATTTCATAAATAAGTATTATGTCAAATTTGTAGTTCTGTATCAGCTTTTCAGCAATTTCCGGTAAACGGAATAGGAGCTTATTCAATTTTTTTTTTTTAAAGCCTATAACTCGACTACTATTTAAGATAAATCGACGAAATTTCACAAATAAGTAAAAGATCTAATTCTATGCCTTCTGTCAAATTTTGAGTAATTTCCGTTGGCCGGAAGTAGTAATTTACGCTATTTCCGATTTCTCACAAAAAAAACCATGTAAATTTATAATTATAAAGTAGTGGCCTACTAGTAATATTCCGCACTATTATACATAAATTGTTTGGCGTTCACTTGGTGCACAATTCTTTTTTCCACGAGATTCATTTCTCTTTTAAATAGTTTAAGTTATTAAAAATGGATTTAAAATCATGTATATATCCCGAGGTGCCATCCTCTTTGTGTCAAAGTATTTAAGAATATTTGACAACTTTAGGGGAGATCACTCTCGGTTTTATTAAAAAAACAAATTCCTTCTGCAGGATTGATGTGTAATAAGCTTTGTTTAAGTTTTACAACACTTTTCAATAAGTCTAAAATAGATTATCCCCATGTATTACTCATAGAGTTTCAAGACGTTTTGAACGTTACTCATAGAGTTTCAAGACGTTTTGAACGTGTATATAGGAATAATACGCTTGCGGTCCTGTCAAGGCGTTGCTCTAGCTATTCCCAGGGTGAGTCATTAATAATGTAACACTTAATTAACGCAAGTTTAACACAAACAATAATTTTAATTTGACGCTGAAGTTAATTTATGAGTATGCTAATGTAAAATTTATGCTAAAAATAATTTTATCGGTATCTTTGACTATAATATCAGCATCAAACAAAGCAAACCATTAACGAAAGTAATTATTAAACCTAAACTTATACAAACGCCAAAAATAATCAAATAGCAATTTTCTTAACCTCATTATTTCAATAAAACATCAGAGTTAAAGTAAGCAATCAATAATTAATCTAATTATTCAACTGAACTTTGTCGCTAAGCAAAATCCCCCCCCCCCCCCCCCCCCCCACAGCCAATTTTTTTTCCCCACTTTTCCCAACCAAAAGAAAATCCAAAAGCCTAGCGGAAACCAACGGGCCACCGGCGGCTAGCTACAAAGCTGAAGAAATCTCTTCTAACTACTTCCCGTTTCGCTCCGCACGGCTCTATAAAACATCGACGTGGCTATTGGGCTGGTAAGTAGGTCAATAAACAGTTCTATGGCTCATGCAGGTTTTATTGAGCCATAGAACTGGTTGGTGACCTACTTACCAGCCCTATAGTCAAAGTGATTGATGGCGCACTGACGTCGATCTAAGATTTTTTTTCCCTGGCTAAAGTCATTTAATGTTCGAGAATTAATTAACTGAAACTAGGGCTGATTCTCGTGTGGCCACTAACCCTTAAGTCAGAAGCTTCCAATCAATAAACGGTGTCGATATCGAATAAACCACAATTCAAGTGATTCATTTTATTGATGGAATATCTTTATGCTAATCTTGGCATACATTCAAAGTCATGAATAAATCAACTCGACCGGTACATAATGACTTGTCCTTTCATCCTATAGGCCTACTACCAACCAACACACCATCCACTCAACCACACCAAATGCCAATCTCACCAACAATCTTTTTTTATCCAACCTAGTGACCCAATTTTGTGGAGACCGAAAGAAACGGAGCAATTTATTGAACACAAAACGCTCACAGAAATGCTACGTGAAATGATTTCAGACTAGCCATTAAAAAAATCTTTAGAGATATTTCTTCCGAAACTTCCAACCACAATCAATACCTTTTTTATCACACTCATCAAAAGTTTTAGCTTCAACACGATTTCTGAACTCATGTCTTAACACTATATCGCTTTCATTAAACCTTTTCTATCACATTCATTAAAACTTTTCTGTCACATTCATCAAAACTTTTCTATCACATTCATCAAAACTTTTCTATCACATTCATCAAAACTTGTCTGTTGCATTTGTCACGATTTTTCATTAACATTTTTTTTTTCAAAATATCTGTATCAAGTTTACCACTGTTTTCTACCACGCGATTTCCACACAAGAGGTCCCGGAAATTTTAAAAGGGCCCCAACCTCAGATTAAAATGTTCATTGAGCATCTTCTCACCACCAAAACCTGAATTTTACGCTTTGGAATGAAGGAATGGAAAATGATAAAAATGGAGAAATATAAAAAAATTACTTTTTCAAAAAATCAAAACACTAATAGGATTATTACAGCACAGTTCCTGAGGGGTCCACCGAGATTTTTTTCGGGAGGATACTTGAAACCTATTGGAGCGGCAGGGGGGGGGGGATGGTTCGCCACTTGATATATTTTCTATATAAATTAGTATCTATATATATATATATATAATTCTCTTCTGGGAGCCGTTAGAAAACAAGCTGCAAGCGCGCCTTACAGTCCCCTCTCTTCCTCTCTATCGCTACCACCCCCACCCCCTCACATGGTCTGGTGAGCTGTGGTTCACGCTGTTTACATTTTACAATCATAGAGACGGGTTTGGTGACGGCTATCAGGGGCAGATAATTTAGTTCAAAACTATTTTAAACTTAGAGGAGGTAACTAAGAGGAGGCTGCTTTCACGTGGGGGGGGGGGGGGGGGAAGGGGGGTTTAGTGTTTTTAAGCAAATATTTTCAGTGGCAGCATTGGTACTGTCGAATTCACAAATTATAAATTACTGAAAAGTAGAAAAAAAACAACTAAATAGCGGCGTATGATACGCAGCGGGTCGGCTCGTTGTTCTAATTCGTCCCGGTTGGTTTGGGTGCTTTTATATAGAACGAGCCGACCCGCGGAGTATTATACGCCACTATTTAGTAGTTTTATTTTCTACTTTTCAGTAATCATAATTTGTGAATTCGACAGTAGCAACGCTGCCACTGAAAATATTTGCTTTAAAACACTATCAGTAGCTCGTTAAGGACGATAACCCCCCTCCTTTCTCCAACCCACTACCCCACATATCTACCCCCCCCCCCCCCCCACCATGAAAGTAAACTCCTCTTAGTTACCTCCCCTTCGTTTAAAATCGTTTCAAGCTAAATTATCTGCCCCTAATAGGCGTCACTAAACCCGGCTCTACGATTGTAAACATTTAGCGTGAACCACAGCTCACCAGACCCAGAGGCGTAGCTAGGGGGGGCGGGGGGGGGGGGGCGGCCGCCCCGGGCGCCGACCCTATGGGGGCGCCAAAAGGGGTGGGAAAAATTTTTTAAAGCTGATTTTATGCTGCAGTTTTGAATTATAAACTGTCTAAGTTAAGAAATGTAATGGCTACACGCCTTTACATACTGATTTAACTGTTTTCTACCTTGATTTCTTAATGTAAAACATATACTCTTAAGAAAAAGTGACCGGCAAAACCGCTTTGAAGCTTTTCCTAGATGGGGGGGGGCGCTTTTTCGAGACTTAAAACGGAAGAATTTACACTAGATTGTTGAGTCGATAAACGTTACCGCTATTAAAAGAAACCAATTGTATTAAAACGTATTGTACGATTGTTGAACTGTAAAATACGTTAGTGACTTTTATCAAGATGGTGCAGGGGGGCGCTTTTAGCCTAAATAAAATAGCAAAATTACACAGGATTCTGAGTAAACAACCTTTAGCTCTCAGAAAGAAACGAATTGTACTGTGCATTGTATAATTGTGTAACATTTTAAAAAAAGTTAGTTACGTTAAAAACCGCTCTACATACTTTGTCCAAGATGGTTGTGATGAGTGTGTGTGGGGGGTGCTTTTTTCGCTAACAAAAATCGCAAGTATTTGTACTGGATTGGTGAGTAGATAACTCTCTTAACACTTAGTAAAGAAACCAAGTGTATTAACGCGTAATGTACAATTTCAATAGCCAGTTTTGTTTAAAAAAAAGACGCGACTAGTTCTTTGTAAGATTCTTACGATTCTCTCAACTTCAACGTGAGAGATCAGATACTTTTGATTGATTGCATTACATCTTACCTGGATCACTGAACTATATTAAAGAGAACTAAATATCACGGATTCTTGAATCCCTAAGCCACTAACCACCACTTTTTTCCATGCTCTTTTTTCATTCTCCACTGTCTGTAATCTAGCTCCAAGGCATACAGTAAAAGAGACCACATTTAGTTATAGATCCTGATTGAATTTTTTTGACAATGCATTTGAATTCTACATTTTCTTAGAGTGTTAAAACGCGTTTTATTGCTGCTGATTATAATCAGAACGTCATGGGCTATCATTAAATTGATTGTTACTGCTTCTTCAATCAATACAATTAGTTCTGCATTTGTTGTTGACGTTGTGCGAGCAGTGTTTCTTCCAGACTTTTTTCTCCGGGGGAGCACTTGAAATTTTCGAGGGGGGGGGGGGGCGGTAGACTTTCTTCGGGGGGGGGGGGGGGCGGACACTTAAACGTATATATTTTCTATATATAAATT